CTAAAAGCTATTTTAAAAATATAAAATAAATAAACCTAAAGTTTTCTTTAGTAAAAAAATAGAGTTAGTATATTAGTATAATATCTAGCTTATCTATAAATAAAATATATTACTAAATAATATAAAGAGCCTGCTTATAAGATAGTAGCTATTAATAGCTAATAGATAATAATAAAGCTAATATATTAAATATATTATAATCTATTTAGACTTAATAATTTCTCTTTATATAAAATATATATTTATTATTTTTATTTTCTTTAGCTAATCTTTAATATCTAAAACTAGTTATATTAAGATTAGAATCTCTCTAAATAAAAACTCTTAGAAGTTATAATTATCTATTAGAAAGTAGATAAGATTTCTATATATAGAATATCTAATCTACTTTCTTAATTTTAGTATTTCTAAGTTTAGCTATATTAATAAATCTTAAATTAATTAGATTTAGAAGTAAATTATAGTTATACTTAATAAATATCTAGTTAATAAAAAGCTTAATAAAAGAAATAAAAAACTTAATAATATAATTTTAAAAAACCTAATTAAATATAATTATAAAGTTCTTCTAGAGATAATTAAAGATAATTTTAAGAAATTAACTAAAAATAAATTCTAATAAAACTTTTATATAAAAACTTATAGAATTATAAAATAATTAGAAGAGTTATTTACTATACTTTAATAATTATTTATATTAGAACTAATTATCTATTAGAAGAGAATCTTTACTATATCTTTTAAAAATATAAAATTAGTATTTTATAAGAGTAAGAGAAAAACTTTTAAAACTCTAATTAAAACTCTAACTAAAAAAGCTAATAAAAAATTATTAATTTTAATTATAATATCTTTAAAGAATAAAAAGATATAAATAATAGCTTCTAATAAGAGCTAAAAAGATCTCTTTTATAATTTTAAAGAAATTAAAACTTCTATAGAAAAGAATAATAATAATAAGAATATTCTAATAATAGTATAGAAAAAGATTATTATATTAAAAATAAAGATAATTAAAATTATATCTAATAAAGAAATAATTTACTCTTTTTCTAATAAGAATAAATAATCTATAATAAGAATTAATAAGAAAGATATTAATAATATATATCTATTAATAGTAAAAAACTATAGCTATTATATAAACTAGATTATAATCTATTAAAATAATAATAATATACTTTATTAGTAAATATATTTTAACTATTATTAAATAAAAGATAGTAATAAGTTACTTAATATTTTAACTCTTAATTATATTATAATTAGTTTTTAAAATATATTAGATTCTAAAAATTTAAATTACTTTCTTATAAAAGAGTTTTATAAAATTAAAAATAAGATTAAAGAAGTTTAGAAGAAGATTATTAAAATAAAGAAGTTAAAGATAGTTATAAACTATAAGGATTATATAAGTAAGAGTATATAGATTTACTATATTAAATAATAAGTTAATACTATAATTAAAATATATATTTAGAATAGAATTAAATATACTATTAATAAGTATAATACTAAGGATTTTAATAATTAACTACTAGCTAAAATTAATATTTTAGCTCTTTATTATATTAACTCCTATATTTTTAATAAATAAATTATAATTAAACTAGTATTTTTAGATTATATAAATTTTATAATTATTAGTAATATATTTAAAGCTAAAATAAGAATTATCTATATATAGAAAATATATTTTAAATAGATTAATAAAAATCTTAGATATAAAATAGAATATTCTAACTATAAAATAATTAATTAATATAATAATAAGATATTTAAAGAGCTTAAAAAGAATATAAACTATATTAATAATTTAGAAGAATTTAATATAGTTTTAGAGGAGAAAAATACTATTCTAAAGATAAATATTACTATTTTATAGTTTAAGCTTAATATTTTTAAAGAGACTAATTATAAAATAAGTAAAACTTTATCTAAGTATAAAGTATTATAGATAGTTAATAAGAAATAAAAATTAGAATTAGATAAAACTAATAAAACTCTATCTAAGACTCTAGTTATATATAGTAAATTAAAATAAGCTATTAAAATACTATTAAAGAAAATATTTACTAAGATAACTTTAGAGAAATTAGTTATAAATTTAAAAACTCCTTCTAAATATAAACTAGAGAATAATTTAAAGAGATCTATAAGTTAATAAGCTAAATAATATAATTTAAAAGTATAAAAAGAGAATTAGAAAAGAATAATATCTATTATAATAAAGAAAAAAGTATAGAATAGATTAAATATAAAGATAATTAAGAAAAGAGTAAATATAAATATATAATTAATAAAAGAGAATTAGAATAATAGAACTTTTCTTTATAGAATAATATATACTAATTAAATAGTAATTAATTAATCTTTTACTAGAATTTCTTTTATTTATTAAAGCAGACTAAATATAGCTAAACTATTAAGAATAATAGTATTTTTTTCTTTATCTAGAGTACTTATTATATTATAAATAGAGATTATATAGAGCTCTCTATAAAAGAGCTATAAATAGCTAATAAATAGAAAGAACTTAAGTTTTAAGAATTATATTATCTTATATATAAATAAAAGTATTATAAATCTAGATTTTAACTATAAGCTATCTAACTATAGCTATTCTATAGCTAATAACTAAGAACTTATTAATAATATCTAAGCTAATTATAGCTAGTTCTAAATATAATAAATAATCTATAATATTTTTAAAGTAACTCTCTAGATTATTAAAATTAATTCTTATTAAATTATAATTATTTAAATTTTTTTTTTTTAAATTCTAAAAAATATTATATTTATTAAAATCTAGAAACTTTAAAAATAATAAAATAAATATAGAATAAAAAAAATAAATATTTTTTATAAAATAAAAAAATATATTAATCTAAGAATTTATATTATTTTATTTATTAATAATATAAAGAAAATTTATTCTAAATATTTTAAATTAGAATATTAAAAATATTTATTATTAATTAAATTAATTAATATATAATATTAATATTCTTAATAAATTATTAGAAAAATATAAAAAAATTCTTAAATTTAAATTTAAAATTTCTATTTATAAATTTAATTTAAATTATTTAAAATAATTAATATTTTAAATATAAGATTTTTAAATATTAAAATTTAAAAATAATAAATTAATAAAAATAATAATAAATATTATATTTTAATTATAAAATTTATATATTAATTTAATAAGAGAAATTAATTAAATATTAATTAAATATATTATTAATTTTTATTTTTTTCTAAATAATAATTTAATAATAAATATTAAATCTAAATTAATAAAAATATTTTATAAATTTTATTTATTTATTATATTAATATAAAGTTTTATATAAATTTAAAATAAATATTTATTTAATTTATTTTTAATAAATTTATTTAAAAATAATATATTAAATTATATTTTTATATTTAGAATAAAATCTATTATTTTTATTATTTTATAAATAATATTTTATTATATAAATTAATTAATATTAAAAGATATTTTTAATATATTTAAGTTTTTTTTATATATATTTTATTAAACTCTAAATATATTTAAAGCTTTAAAAATTATTTTAATAAAGTTTTAAATAAAATAAAAAATAATAAAAAAAATAAAAAAAATAATATTAAATAATAATTATTAAAAACTCTAATTAATAAAATATTTCTATATTATTATTTAAAAAATAAAATAATTATAATTTAAATTAATTTTAAATAATATATTATTAATCTTTTTTATTTTATTATTTTTTTATTATATATTTCTTTAGTTATTTAAATAAAATAATTAATTTTTTTATTAAAAAACTATTTAATAAATTAATTTTATTTATTATAAATTTTATTATAAATTAGAAAAATAAAATATTAATTTATTATTTATATAATAATATTTAATTATATAGAGAATTAATTTATTATTTAAAAAAATAATAAATTATAAATAATTTAATAAAAATATTTAATTTTAATTTTAATTAATAAAAAACTAAATTAATATATTTTATTAAAAATATAAAAAAATTTATTATTAAATAAATTTTATTAATAAAAAAAATTTATATTAAATATTTAGTTTTTAATTTTATAATAGAATAATTAAAAATTAATTATATTTAAATATTTAAATATATTATATAATTTAAAAAATAATTAAATATTTATAAAAATATAATATAATAAATTTAAATATAAAATAATTATATAAATAAATTTTTTAATTATATATTTAATAAATTTATATTTTATTTTAATAATAAATATATTAAAAGTATTTAAATATATATAAAAAAATATAAAAAACTTTTTTTAATAAAGAAAATATTATAAATATAATATTATTAAATATTTTAAAAATATTATTTAAAATTATTTTAATATTAATAATATTTTTAATATTTTTATTTATTTATTAAAATAATTTAAAAAATTAAATTTATTAATTTATTTATTAAATTATTTAAATTTTATAAAAATCTTTAAAAATTATTATTAAATTTTTTTTTTTAGAAAATTTTAAATAAAAAGAAAAAAAAATATTTAAAATTTAAAAAAAACTTTAAAAAATATTATAATTTAAATAATATATTAATTATTATTTATTTAAATTATAAATAAAAAACTTAAAGAAATATTTTTTAATAAATTTATAATTATTAAATATAAATACTTTATAAGCTTTAAAAAATATTTTTAATTTAAAGAAATTTTAAATTAATTACTAGCTATAATTTATAAGAAACTAATAGAAATTCCTAATATAATAGAACTAATTTTTAATAATAATATATATAAGATACTCTACTATAGAGCTAATTAAAAGCTTCTTAGTAGTAATTTAAAGAAATAAGAGATTAGCTGGATATTGCAGCTGTATGTAAAACGCATAAAATAAAATAAATCTACCGCTCGCACCTTTTACTCAAACTAAAATACCTACATGAACTCCGCCTCTATCTAGTTAGGCTTGATCAATTAACTCCAATCTGATGGCGCCCGCTAAGACATCTCCTTACACTTACCAACCACTACCAAAGCCGCGCACAATCAGATTACTGCGACTTGGCCCTTCGCCTTCACACGCAAAGCCTCTTCAATGTCGTCTCCAGCAGGTATCTCTCGACGACCTGCGAGAGAAAAAGAAGAAACACTCCTATGAAGCACTTTCATACACATGGGGTGCCAAGAATGGGAGCGTGCCCATTCTGTGCGAGGGACGGAGGCTTCTTGTTACGCCCAATTGCGAATCTGCCCTCCGGCATCTTCGTCACAAGTTGACCCCCCGATTACTATGGATAGACGCCATCTGTATCAACCAGAAATCGACTGATGAAAAGAACTATCAGGTCCAGCTGATGGGCGAAATCTACGCACGGGCGGAACGAGTCATTATTTGGTTAGGACCAGGCGTCCCGGATGATGAGGAGCTCTTTCGCAAGGCGCGTCGTCGAGGCCGGGTCTCCCACTCGAGGGGACAGAGTGATACGAGCAGTGCTTCATTCATAGATTCTTGGATAGAAGAGCCCAAGAGTGAAACCCTGGACCGCATCAGCAACAATGCGTGGTTCACACGCGTCTGGACAATCCAGGAGATGCTGCTCGCGCTCAACCCCGTCTTCCGAATCGGCCATTCCGAGTGTCCGACTTCCTCGATGTACACTTACTTTCTGGTGAAGGCTGGTTCCGAGATCCTCGGGAATTCTCGTTTCCAGATGAGAGTTCGTGCACTGGAAATCCTCCAACCCGAAGCCGCAAAGTCCAAGGCATTGCTGAGCAAAGTCATACAATATGGACGTACGCCAGAGACCGATTCCACCGAGCTCCTGTCCATGATTCTGAAGCTTGCCAGTCTAAGCGAGGCGTCAGATTCTCGCGACAAGTTTTATGGGATTCTGGGTCTCCTGCAGATATTCACGAAAGCCACATTCCCTCCTGTCGACTACACAAGAGACGATACCCAGATTTTCGAGGAGTCGGCCCGCTGCATGATACGAATGACTGGGTGTCTCTGGCCTCTGGAAGTTATTTGTCGCCCCTTCGGCAATACGAGTAACATGGCATCGTGGGTTCCCGACTTGCGCGATCCTGCTTCTATCGACATTGAATGGCAGCCGGGCGTATACAGGGCTGTTTCTACCGATAAGGAAATGCCGTTTCCTAGGACTACGCAGATTCAAAAAAATTTGTCGGCAAGATTACCTCCTGGACCTGTTAGAGCCGCCGAGATGACATCCTCGGATTTTGAGACACCTGGAAGACTACCAGTCGAGGCCAAGTTTCTCGTCAAGGTCGCTGAGGTGTATGATAGAATGCCAATGGTTGAAACAGGAACAGAAGATGATGATCTCATGAGAACTCTCTGTTTTTCGAGTTGGACTTCTGTTGCCACTGGGCTAGATCTGACTCAACCGGTGGGCCAGAAGCCCTCTGCTGGCTACATCGAAGCCTTGCACTATCTGACACCAGGCCTGAGTAGCCTCCATCAGAATCCTGCTTGTGATGGGGAATCCAGGCCATCTTATCATAATAAAGCACAATATGATGGAGCTGCTCTTTTCCGAACCTCGTGCGGTCTTCTTGGTTTGTGTAAAGGCGATATCCGTCCTCAAGACAAAGTGTTACAGCTTGCAGGTGGACGGTACCCTTTTGTGCTCCATCATGAATATGCACACGGGCGATCGTGGTGGTACGCATTTTGGCTGTGGTTGTGGTGCTGGTTATGGGATAGGGGGAACGATTACCGGTTGATCGGGATCGCGGATGTACATGGATTGAAAGAAAAGACGGCTTGGAGTGAGGACTACGTTGAAGGAGACTTTCACAAAATCACAATTATTTAGAGCATTAGACGACGCGTAAGGACCCAGACAAGCATTTTGATACCCACAGTTACCCAAGGAGAACAGTCAAAATCCATTCATGAATAGGACATGCCCACCGGTTCAACTAGCAAAGAAACTACCTCTTTGTCTCTGACATTAGGCTGCTTTACAGATATGATTTGTCTCTAGGCCTCCTAGTTCCCTCCACAATAGCAGGAGAAACTAGCTTGTTGGGATGAGGTTTGAATTGTCAATACATGGTTCATCAACCAGGTATTGCATCCGTCTATCAGATAACTATAATAACGCCCTTGAACTGCCACAGGCTATATAAATCGCTTAGGAATGCTAAAAAGTCCAACTATAGCACTTAAAATCTCCCTCACAGGTAGCATGACAATTCAAGGTAAGTAGCTAAGGTGCGTAACTGCGTATATTACTATATAACTAGATATCAACAGAGTGATGCTCACTCAGCAATCGAGTCGAAATATATTATCATTACCATGCTTCCACCTTAGGCACATCCTGGACTCTAGATTGTATACATGAAACGTGGGCTCGTATCACCAAGTGCGTCAATCTCAGCGTCAGACATACCCTCGATCTTATAGTCCTCCTTACCAGCCCGGCGCCTCTGGTTGACTGTGTGCAGATAGTACGACAGAGAGCCAAATGTGGTCATGCCAACAGCCAAAAGGCCAATGGACACTGCGTAGCCCTTGACGTAGCGGGGAGAGTCTTTGAGCGGGTAGAGCTGCGACACCAACCAAGTCAGCTAGACGTACATTCACCTGCTCCCACCGAACGAATTGGACTCGCAAAAGAAAGAGCTGCTACTTACAAAGGGAGCCATGACCCCAGAACAGTTGCAAATGGAGATCTGGATGGCCGTGGCAGTGGTGCGCTTTCCATAGCGTGGGTTGTTGGTCGGCAGCCACGACAAAGGCAAGCCGACACCGACAAACAGACCCATGGCGACTAGGAAAGTGGCAAAGTAATGCACTGGAACACCAGCACTTTCGGGAAGCAGTGAGATCCCGTAGCCGAGAATGCAGATGGCGTTGCAGACGACGAGGTACGGTCCGCGGAGCTGGTGCCGGTCGGACAGCCATGCCACGGTATAGTAGCTGACAGCGCCGACTGCATAGCAGGGGATGGTGAGAGCCTGAATCTCGGGTCGGGTCCAGCGCGGGTTGAGCCCCTGGATGATGGAGGGCAAGAATACGGAGTAGCTGTAGAGCATGGTGGTGGTGCAGAACTCGGCGCCGGAGAAAACCCAGGTCTTCCAGTCCTTGACGGCCATCCAAGCATCTTTCTTGTCAAACTCCTCGTGGAAGCCGGTCTGGTTCTGGAGCCGTCTCAGAAGGAGCTGACGCTCCTCTTCGGTAATATAGCTGGCTGTCTCTGGGTTGTCGGCAAGGACGAAGTAGATAACAAACCCAAAAAGAACAGTTGGAATACCTAGAGGCAGAATGTCATTAACAACAAGATAGACGTTGGGGTGTGCTTGGTACGGGTCGTCAACACTGTACCTTCAATAATGAAAATCCAACGCCAACCGGAGAGCCCGTTGACTCCATCCATAAAGCCAATGCCGTAAGCCAACAGGCCACCACAAGCGCCGGCAAGGGCTGTAGCGACGAAAAGGTAGCTGAAACGCAGGGCTATCTCTTTCTTGGTGTAGAACACAGTTAGATACACGGTAAGGCCGGGAAGAAGACCGCCCTCCAGGAGACCAAGCAAAAGTCGGCAAGCAATCAGACCCGCATAGTTCTGCACAATGCCGGTGAGTGTCGATACAATGCCCCAACTAACGGTGATAAAGGCAAGCCACCGCGAAGGGCGGAACCTCTTGATGACCAGGTTGCTGGGGATTTCGACCAGGATATAGGGAATAAACAGGACGGCGACGGCGATTTGGTACATGTCTCCAGACATGTGGAGATCTGCTTCGAGACCGAAGAGACGGGCATTGCCAATGTTGGTCCTGTCCAGGAAGCAGAGAAGGTAGGCGAACATGACAGTAGGAATGATGTGCCTGTCAAGCTTGCGGATTAGCTGGCGCTCGGCCTGAGGATCGATCATATAAGGCGTGGTTGGCGACAGCGAGTTGCTATTGGGAGTGACATTCTCTGCGATCTCGTGATGGGGCTTCATATCTTCCATTTTGACGGTTCTTCAGTTCACAACACTGACTGGAGGTAATGCAGTTGAGTGTGGTCGTTAGAGGGGATGCAGAGGCAGACTCAGTAACTGCGAGACAGTGCCTGTGGAATCTAGATGCCGGCTTCAAGTCGTTTCAAGGTGGTATCGATTGCTTCTTTATATGACAGGCTTTTGGGCTGTGCTTCATTACTAGGGTATAGCTTATGAGGAACATAACCCACATACAACAAACAACTCCGGGGTTACCAAACGACCCGATACTATGCCATAGGCTAGGTTGGGGAACCCTGGAGAGCAGATTTCGTGACACTCGTTTTTGGGGACAAAGCCACGCCAAGCTTGACCAGTAGCAAGTAGCTCCCAATCCCCAAAACACTGCCTCTGCTAGTGCAGCTAGATGAGATGGATGCCTGAGCCCTGGGGTATCTCCAACCCCACCTCTCCCCCCGATTACCCCAGAATTCAGATTACCCTAGAATTCAGATTACCCCAGAATCCAGATAGCCCCAGAATCCAGATAGCCCCATATGGGATACGTCTACGGATAGCAGCTGCATGGAGCGTATCGCTGGGGTCAAACATCGTTTGGAACCATCCTAGCTAGAGCTATAGCATCAACGTCTTGACGCACATACATTCTCCTGACAGAAGGAGACTAGAAGGGAGACTTGATGGGAACTGGTGGCGACATCTGGAATGCGGGACGGTGGCTCTTGTCGAAGCTCTATGAACACCTACGTCGAGGGCTACTAGACAGTCATACGAGTCTGGCAAATTGAAGGAGGACGGCATCATCTCCTAGCCGAGGCAGTGCTTCTTCAGGTATTGTATATAGTTGAAAGAGATTTTCTTCTCTTCTTCAAGTTGGATGATTAAATATAATCCATACTTTCAGTCTTGAATGTATCTGATTAATATACTTATCAACAGTAGTTGTACTTTTAATCATAATACTGTATGCAGATAGGCAATACCAAAAGGATTCTGGCTAGGTGTCAACGAAAGAATCCACCTAGCCGCCACTTTTGCAACGTAGAGAGAGAATCATCAACCGCGTTTCAATTTGTTTCACCCATACAACCCTCGAAAATGCTCCTTCTAGCCTACCCACCCTGCGCCTTCTTTAACATCGATAGAATTCAACCCCAGTGCTGCACATCGCCCCCAATCGCTATTTGGACATGTCAATGACCAGCTTGCCGGTGGCACCGTGGTGAGTGTCCTCGACAAGCTTATTCAGATCCTCCAGCTTGTACGTGGTGACAACGGCGCGCACATTCTCCTCGCCAGCAAAGTTCAGCATGGCTCGCAATTGGCGGTTACGGCCAACGAGGACTCCCCGCATTTCGATGTGGCGGAAGACAAGGTCCCGGGGTTGGATCAGGAAGCCATCCTTGGGGAAGGAGACGGTGACGCAGACACCGTGGTCCTTGATGAGCTTCATGCCATAGGTCAGAGCCTGCTGCGCCTCTGGCAGGACAAGGAGAGCGTCGACGCCCTTCTCGCCGGGCAGGTTATTCTCAGGTTGGCCGCAAGCCTCAATACGGACATCCTCTGCTCTTTGACGGCGCGCGTCCACAATGGTGACCTTGGACGATAGCGGGCCGAGCGAGTCGACAACCTGCTGGAGGAAAGCGAGAGCAGAGTCGCTGGCGTCAATGGCGACCACGTTGCAGCCGAGCTTGGCGGCGAACTGCACACCGAGGTGGCCGAGACCACCACCGGCGCCCGAGATGGCGACTGTGCGTCCCTCACCGCCACCTCGTTCCAGCTTGACGCGGCCGGCTTCTAGGGCGTTCCAGATGGTCAGGCCAGCGCACATGAGAGGAGCCGTGTCGACAGCAGTCATGCCATTGGGCATGGGGGCGACCTGGCGAGAGTCGGCAATGCAGTACTCCTGGAAGCCACCGTCGCGCGAGAGACCGAGATTGCCGGCTTTTGAACACCAGACGCCATATTTGTGCGGGTCGCCGTCGTTGTTGCGGCACTCGTAGCACTCACCGCAGGGGTGAAAGGCCCGGCCGGGCACGCCAATCTTGAGGCCGATCTTGAGGCCAAGGTCCGCGGAGACGTCGGGGCCCATGGCCACGACGACTCCGGCGAACTCGTGGGACCCAACACGGGGCAGGTCCTGCCACATGGCCCCGGAGGCAAAAACTGCATCGGTGTGGCAGTACGAGGCGGCCTGGACCTGGACCAAGATGTCCTGGCCGGTAGGCTCGGCCGGCTTCGGTATGTCCTTCAGGACATAGGGCGTGTTGAAGGCTTCAAGGACTTGGGCGCGCATGGTGATGACTGATGGTTGGATGGTCGGCAGGTCACGAAATGTCTTTAGGACGGACTTGATGCTACGGACAACTTTCCGTCAAAGGACCAGCTAGGTTCCAGCGGTGTGTCCATTTTATATGCAACATTTTCCGTTAAGAGGACGATTCGGATCACTCGATGGACATCTCCAACCAACGACTCCATCCCGCCCATCAGACGATTGGGGACATTGACGTCTGTTCCGAAATTAGTAAGAAAGAAACACCGGAAATAATCTCGGGAATGTTATGCCTTGACTTGGTGGGAGCAGAGAGTCGCAACTTAGCCAGCCACGTAAGGTGAACTGGCTATCGTTGTGGTTCCACTCGCCTCAAATTGGGGAAGGAGGGGAGACGCAGGAGTGCCGCAGTAGATCAGTCGGGGAAGCCTGCCAGGCGATGTATTACGTTGTGACAAGACTGGTTGGAGGGGATGCCCGCAACTGACAGACACTGCTTTAAGTTGATGCAATCCGGACAGTCCCCCATCTCACTAAAGCATGTATCAGGTCACTTGGCCCGTCTGTCTCTGTATGTTTGGCTATTTCTTCCGACCTGCCTCTCACTGCACATCCGCCAGGGGGCAAAGGAGGACACAATGCGCAAATCTTACGACTGGGCCGACATCTCGAATCACTCGAAGCCAGAAGACTTGTTTCTGGTGATAGAGGGGAAGGTCTATGACGTGACACGGTTCCAGCATGAACACCCGTGCGTGGTTCTCTCTCTCGCCTAGACTGCCGAGACCGTACATGCTGACCCGCCTGTTTGGGTGCGCAGTGGTGGCGACGAATTTCTAGTGGACCAGGGCGGACAAGATGTCACGGAGCTCTTCAACGACGCGGGCCACAGCGACGAAGCGCGGGCTATACTCAAGACACTCGTGATTGGCGAAGTCAAGGTTTGAAGTCCACCGCTAGCCGGGATCCCAGAGGGGCTGCTGCTGACACTGCCATCATGATGCTGCAGGACGACGGTAAAGGCAACGCCGCAACAGGCGCAGCTGTAGCCAAGAGCCAGGCCAACCAAAGTCAGGGGATGGGTTCTTTGGACGTGCGTGGGGCGTTGCTGTTGGTGACTCTGGGCAGTGTGCTTGGCTTGCTTTTCCTCCTCTACCCCAATTTGGGGTCGACGCTTGGGAGGTAGCTTAAACCCAGGGGTGAAACTAGATGTTGAGGCCAGACCCGACAGGGCAACTGAGGCGGGGATGATGGAGCCACAGAGTCGAGGCCGAGAACCGGACGAAGTGGACAAGAGCAAAGACGAGGGTGACATGGGCTCCTATAGGGGTCGGAGGATAGGCAGCACGATATGGAAATAGACGGGAAAACAGGTTCAAGAATACATTCAACTTCGATGCTCTCAGCAACCCAAAGTCTTCCCGCTGATCATCTGACCTCGCTCATGAACTGGAGCTGCACCCGTGAACATGCAACCAACGACTCTATATCCGGGGAAACCCCAGATCCACATGGGCAGTGTGGGACTGTGGGAGAACAGGGAACTCATCTAACCTTCTCGCATCTAGTCCCTCGGGCGAGCGAGTAATAGCGCTCTGTATAGCAATCCACCTCGGTCGGAAGAAGCCATGACATGGTGTCCGTCACATGCAACCTGCATCCTCCATCACGCCCATGACTGTTCCCAGTGTTGGGCTCATACTCATTCGAGAGATGCGAAGAGTCAGAGGCAGACCAGGCCAAACCATACATCCAGCTGTCGGTTCAGTCGCTACTTCAGTCGCTACAACGGCGACGATACTATGACCAACGCCACAAAGAACCACCGGTGTGGCCGGTGCCGTCGCGATTTCGCTCGCCTAGAGCACCTCCAACGTCATGAGCGCTCGCATACCAAGGAGAAGCCCTTCAAGTGCAAGCTGTGCCCCAAGGCATTCACGAGACAGTGCGACCAATCCCTGGGCCAAACAAAGTCTTCTCGCAGGATGGGATGGGCTGGCTGACAAGACCTCTAGGGATCTTCTTCGCCGGCACGACCGGTTGACGCACGATATGAACTCGGAGGCAGGAGATGACGCTGCCCGTTTCGAGTCGGGCCAGGCGTCGCCGCAGGCGCAGACACAGCAGCTGCCGCCCGAGATGCTCCTTGAGGAGTCCATGTCAGACATGCCCATGATGTCTATACCAAACCACGACGCTGCCTCGTCGTGCGCGCCGATTCCCATGGTTGATTTCGACATGAACGAGAGCAACATGGTCATGGGCAACTACTTTGACGATTTTGCGTCCTTTATGGACAATGTCCCCATTCCCAACTCGGTCTTCTCGCCCTCATACCAGCCTATGTTCGCGTTCCTCCCGGGCAGTGCTGATCCTGTATCCTTTCATGGCCACGCTGAGACTCTGCGTGAGGCGGAGCAGCCATTCCCTCTAGGCGCACAGCAGCAAAATCATTCTTCAGCGGGCGATTCTGCCTTGTCGGCATATGGATCACGCTTACCGTCATTGCAACCGGAGGACCGACCAGACTCGCCCTTTGCTCACCGGAATAATGAGCGGCATCAGCAACAATCCCGAAACTCGCAAAAATCACATCGCAACCGCAATGGCTATCCTGAAGTGTCCACGCAGGATCGAGACAAGGCCATGCAAGAGCTGGCAGGCTTCTCCTCGTGTCTGCCAGCCAATCTCGTGCTCCCCACCAAGCACGCACTCTCACGCTTCGTCTCGGGCTACTTGAGCGTCTTCAACGACCACTATCCGTTCCTCCATACCCACACGCTGCGGTTGGGCGCCGTGCGGGTCGAGCTCTTCCTGGCCATTGCAGCCGTCGGCGCTCGTTATTCCCGCGAGCCTGAGGCCAGCAACGAGCTGTTCCACCTGGCCAAGGCGGTTGCGCAAGAGCGTCTACGAAGGACCCGCGAGTCCGGAACGGCAAGGGGAAGCGGCCCTGGTCTCGCAAGAAAAGGAGACGCAGGCGACACATCAGATGATGCTCGATCCGGCCAGATTGAAACCATGCAGGCGCTCGTCTTGCTCATAGCTATCGCAACGTGGTTCAAGAGGAGACCTGACATGTACGAAGCGCTCTCCATACGGAGCATTCTCGACTCACTCGTCCGGGAAGACAATCTTCAGCATGAGCGAGTGATCCGCCCGTCGGGCTGGATGGAGTGGGTTCGCTATGAGTCCCTCAAAAGGACCAAGCTGGTCATTTTCTGCTTCTTCAACATTCACTCCATTGTGTTTGACATGCCACCCATGATGCTGTCTGACCAGTTGCGTCAGGATCTGCCCTGCGCCGAGAATGAGTGGAAGGCCGGCAGCGAGCAAGAATGGCTCGCCTGCCACGACGGCCAAATCATGCAAGAAGACTCCAAGACGGCCTTGGAGAGGCTATTTGAGCCTCCAGAAGCCGATCGGGCCTTGGTATCACTGTTTCCGCCAAACGGTGGCTCTCCCAGCTCGGGGTTCTCCCCCCTGGGGGGGTGTGTCCTGATCCATGCCATCATTCAACGGATCTGGCTAGTGAGAAATTCGGGCTTCTACAGTGGTCATGCGAGCCAGCAGCTGTCGCCTGATATAATGAGCACTTTTGAGCGAGCCCTCAAGTCTTGGTCATCGTGCTGGGAGTCCGGACTGGAGTCTTCCATGGACCCCCTGAGCCCCCACGGCCCTCTTTCATTCACGTCAACAGCACTGCTCCGCCTTGCCTACATCCGTATTAACATGGACCTTGGCCCGATCCGCTCGCTGGACTCGTGGGACCCCAGCATCATCGCGCGGTCACTCGACAGCAGCCCTCCAGCGCAGCGGAGCCACCGGCTCACACGGGCTGCCCTGCACTGCGCACACGCACTGAGCATCCCGGTCAAGCTCGGCATCAACTACGTGGCCCAGACTCAGGTGGTGTACTGGTCCAACCAACACGCATTGTGCTCCCTCGAGTGCGCCGTCTTGCTGGCCAAGTGGCTCGAGGCGGTCACCGTGCCGGAGCCGGACCCGCCCCTCAACCCGGCCGAAAGGCGCATGCTGGACTTTGTGGTCCAGCTGGTGGCTGAAACTCACTACAAGGGCCAGGCAGATAGGGCTCTCCAAGACAAGTGCTCCCTATCCTCGACGGTGGTCCGGTTGTGGGCTTCTCTGTACAAGGCAGAGAGCGTATGGGAAATGGTGGACTTGATTGCCCGCTCACTGAACGCGTTTGCCGATCTGTTGGAGACGCGGAGCCGTGCCTCGGAAGCTCCCGCTTGAGGTTCAGATGCACCTCACCGGAATTATCATAGCAGATTGTAACGTACCCTACTTGATGCATGCTTCGCAAGCGTGTGAGTGGGTTGGATGGGGGCCGAGCCCCTCTATGACCTGTTTCCCCGAATTGGGGACTTGAAGGTAGTCGAACTACAGTCGGCCTTTCACCCCCAGCCGAAATAGCTGCACTTGGGAATAGCCCAATCCAGAGTAGGATGTACCGTAGCTCTAGGTCAAGCTTGGCAGCGCTTTGGAGAAGCACACTGTGGGCACGTCGTGACATTGTCATATACACATACCACCAGTGCTTATCCCTTTGACGTGATACTCGAGGAGACTAGCTACGCCGTTAAACGGGGTGCTTATATCATATGCTCGACGCGGACCTTTATTTCGCTCTCCCTTTCTCTCTCCTCCTTGATATACCATTCTTGTCTTCGGATCTACCATATCACACCTCTATATCTCTTTGCATCCTTGCACCTCTGCACAATGTCTTCCCAAAAGTACAATGTCGACCTATTCAACAAGGACAACTTCGAGCAGGGTCTGCAGAACCGCCGCAAGGTCGTGGGCGATGCCTACGTCGACGGTGCCTTGAAGGCTGGATCAACTGAATTTTCCTGGCCCAACCAGCAACTCGTGACCGAGTGAGTAATATGACTCCTTGGGGGTTCCCCCCTTCACGCCTGTCGACTCTACAAATTCAATTCAAGTAGATTAGCCTTCTGACAGTTTGGTGATACCCATATTAGATATTGTTGGGGAGGCATCTGGTCGCGCCCCGGCTTGACCTTTCAGCAGAGAAGTCTTTTGAGTGAGACCCCCCCTCCCCATTTTCCAATGCGCCTACCTAGTAGAGCAAGTGGACTGAGTCTGATATGAAATGGGGCCTTTGCAGACATCGGCATGCTCATCGGCCTGAAGAGTTGGCCGGAGCTTGGCATCCATATCCGCGGCGCCATCAATAATGGCGTCACCGAGCTCGAGATTCGTGAGGCCATCCTCCAATCTTCCATTTACTGTGGCGTCCCTGCTGGCATTGAGGCTACCAAGACGGCGACGCGTGTCATCAACGAGATGGTTGCCAAGGGTGAACACAAGAGGCAACTCTCCGAGAGCGTTCCCTCTTCTGAGTAGGATGGATATGTTTGCATCACTCGAGGATTGATGGGAGGAACTAGGGAATATGAAAGCCCGAGTGAAGCTGAGGCGTAGCATAGCAAGGATGATGTTTGCATAGTGAATCCATATAATACCGCGCATTAGCAATTCTTGTTGGTTGGAGAGACTGCATCTAAAACTTCTGCCTGCTGCGTGAGATCAAGGCTTGTTCGTTCCCTACTGATTTGACTCGATGCAACCGAAGCTCTGTGACATTGTCTGGTGGTGGAGGTGCTTCTCGTGCGAAATCCTCGCCTCGTGAAGCACAGCTTCACCCTGCTGATTTGATCTTTTGCTGGCCACACAGCCAAATTCCATCAAGGCACCAATAGATTCCTCAAACGACCAAGACTTCAAGTACGCATGTCGGTCGCGTTCCGACCCAACCAACTTATTAATTAAGTCAAGGTAAACCACAGTACTTTCTAAATCAAAGAAAACCAAAACTACTAGGCAATTGATTAATCTCGTTTAATATTGCAGTTCATTTTTTTTCACGCCCCATTGTGGTAGATTACTGGCAGTTTTTGGGCTGCAGGGTAAGCGCCCCTTGTTGGGACGGGCGACAGCTGCGAAGCCACATCAGGCTCGCTGTCCTCTATTGTGACAGCTAATTCGTAAAGACCCTGGACCGGCTGTCTCTTTTATTTTGTCCGAATCACAGATCCCTCATATGACAGGGATAGACCTGCAGATATCAAACGATCAAACTTAGCATCTCAAAGTTCAAACCGATCTTGACACGTAAATTGAAGCTGCCTAGATTCTGTTATCTGACTTATCTACCTTATCTATTGGCTCATTTCATCTGGACACTAGATATTTGTGGGTATTTGTGGGACCAAACGAAAATTACTTGGTAGGACAGTTTATTTAGTTGCCATTGCCCTGAAGTGACTGTTCGTACTGCCACTACTACTTGCTCACCACAACATTGCCAGGCATCTTCTTTCCATTCCGAGCCAACTCCAATGCCCATCTCCAATCATCTAGCAGCCATGCTTGATCGACCATCTACAGGTGCTCCGTAGCTTTGAAGCTCTCGGTGATCCACGTGTCAAGCTTCTTCTCGTCGCGTGGCACGAACTTCACTTTGAAGGGCTTCGGCTGTGTGACCATGCTCGTGGGAACCGAGTTGCACTCGATGGTGTCAAGGATGGGGCGAGACTTGACGTCGTCGGTGGCGCGGATGTGGAAGGCGAGGACGAGGCGGGAGAAGATGGCGTACAGCTCACGATTCGCGAGGTGGGCGCCGGCGCACATCCTGGTGCCCGCGCCGTAGCCAAAGTGCTGCGTGCCAGCGCCGACTTCGTCGATACCCATGAAGCGCTCGGGTAAGAAGTCCATGGGGCGCGTAAAGTGCTCGGGGTCGTGGTTGGCAGCCCACATGTTCTGGTCATATGGTGTCAGGTCTCGTAGATTTGGGATGGGGGGTTAGATGGAGATGGAGATGGGCTGATACTTACGAGAAGAAAAGGGGTGCCGGATGGGATCGTGGCACCCTTGTAGGTAATGGGCTTGGTGCTCTGGCGGTTGAAGGATAGATTGAGAGTGGACCAGTAGCGGAGGACCTCCTTGACAAAGGAGCGCATGTACTCCGACTTCTCCTCGACCAGACAGGCGTGCCAGGGATCTTCGCCAGCGTGGGCTTTGATGAGCTCCTTGTGCAGTTTCTCCTGAATCTCCTGGCCGTGCTCGGACGAGAGGTAGGCAATGGTCATGTTGATGTTGCCGGGGAGGGTATCGAGCCCCGCGGCGACCATGGTGAGGCAGATGGACTTGAGCTCGTTGTCGGCTAGCTTGGCCTCGGGGTCCTTGAGGACGTTGCCCGCGATGCAGGGGTTGTCGGTGCCCTTGGCGATGCGTTCCTTGAGTTGCTCGAAGAAGGACAGGATGTAGTCATCGCGGCGGCCGCGGAACTTGATGGCCTGTTTCTTGAAGCCGGGCCAGAGGCGCAGCAGGGGCACGTAGTCCTGCCAGTTGTGGGCGATGCCGCGAATGTTGCCCAGCTCACGCTCGACGGTGACGACCTCGTTGAGCACGTGGTCGCGGACGGTGCCGTCGAGGCGTATGCCGTAGTTGAGCGTCAGCGAGATGTTGAGGGAGAAGCGCTGGAAGTAGCCGTTGGGGTCTATGTTCTTATCGAGCTTGAGGTTGCGGAACAGCTCGTTGATGCTCGTCGTAGACTCAAGGTCAATGAAAGGGAGATAGGTCTGCACGGCCTGGCGGTTCAGCGCCGTGGCAGCAGCCTTGCGCGCGCGCTTGACCGAATCGTTCCATGGCGAGGTGCCAAGGGTGAAGACGCCCTGGGTCTCGGACACGACCTCGTGGAAAGTCCAAAACTTGGGCCGCGAGATGAGGGCCGACTGGTTCTTGATCCAGAGCTCCTTGACCGACTCGAAAGAGTTGGCGTAAATGAAACGCTATTGTAGGGAAGCGGTTGTTAGCGACGGTGCGTCTGTCCGTCTGTCCATCCACTTACACGGTTGCCGAGGCGAGCCTGGAAAACATCACCGTAGTCCTTGGCCAAGCGTGCGCAATTGCGAGCATGGTGACGACCGAGCAGGAACAAGCTGCCGAACAGGGGCACGCCCGGGATCTCTGGTAGATTCTTGATCTTGGGAATGTCGGTCTTGTTGGTCTCCTTGATCAACGCCGTCAGGAGGATGACGACCAGGACAAATGTGGCCGCTTCACGAAACCCCACGTACTCGAGGAGACGGCTTTGCGCATAGGGAAAGTGTGCTGTGTCCATTTTTGCATATACTGAGAGAAGACCTCAAGGTGATGATCAGGTTACTCTTCAACTAAATCTCACCGAGATGGAAATTGGAGTCTGGCCGTCTGTCTGTTTGACTAGGCTTCATCTTGGTGCGCTTCGGCATGTGCATTCATATACCAACCAACACGGTACATGAATGCATGCACAAAAGGCCTCCTGATAGCCTAGATCCCATCTTCCCCAGCCTTTCGGCGAGCAGGTCCCATCTTCTTCTTCCACACTCCACCATTCTCTCCAAGTAGTCGATCCCCTCCCCCAATTTGGGGATCATAACCTTGACTTTCTCGGGGATTCGCCTCATGGAGCCAACAGAATTGGTAGTCGGTTTAGTGTATTGTTGGACTTGTTGGACTTGTTGGAGAATAAGAGAAGGAGGGTACAACTTCTTGGCACGTCGTCTTCCCAGCTGATCGCGTAACGCATGTGTACCGCACGAAGTTTTGGGACGCCTCTCCGATACATAACGGGTGCAACCCAAACTGGCAAAATTCAGTCTTGTCCAGTGAAAAGAACGCTTTCACAGCCCGAAATCATTAAAGCATTCGCAACCATGGCGAGCCGCAAGATCCGCGTGGCCATCCTAGACGATTACCAGGGTATCGCTGCCCAGAAGTTGGCTCACCTGAGCACCAAAATCGAGGTGGCCAGCTTCCCAGACACGCTCCCTCCTACGGCTGACGAGAAGCAGCTTGTTGAGCGTCTGCTGCCGTTCGATGTCATTTCTACCATGCGCGAGCGCACGGCACTACCGGGCACCGTAATCAGGGCGCTCAGCAACCTCAAGCTCGTGCTGACTACGGGCATGAAGAACACGGCCATTGACATGGCAGTCTGCGCGGAACGCGGTATCCCTGTTCTCGGAGCCAAGGGCCTGGGAAGCTCGGCTGTCGCCAACTCCAAGCCCCCGACGTCGCTCGACTCGACACTCCAGCACACTTGGGCCCTGATTCTCGGTAGTGCCAGGAACATTGCCCGAGACGATGCCCTGATGAAGACGGGCAACGGCTGGGAGACATCGTTCGCTTCGGGACTCACGGGCAAGACACTGGGCGTCATTGGCCTAGGAAAGCTGGGCGCCGACGTCGCCAAGGTGGCCGTCCTGGCCTTTGGCATGAAGGTGCTTGCGTGGTCGAGCAGTCTGACGCAGGAGACGGCAGACAGCAAGGCTCGTGACTTCGGCCTCGCTGCTGGCACGTTCCAGGTGGCCTTGAGCAAGGAGCATCTACTCAGGGATGCCGACGTGGTTAGCATCCACTACGTGCTGTCCGATCGTAGTCGCGGCATGCTGGGGTCTCCAGAGTTGCAGCTCATGAAGCCCACGGCACTCCTCGTCAACACGTCTCGTGGTCCCCTTATCGACGAGCAGGCCCTGCTGGAGACCGTTAAGGCCGGCAAGATCAGGGGGCTGGCACTTGATGTATACCACTCTGAGCCACTGCCAGCTGATAGCGAATGGCGGAGGATTCCATGGGGGAAAGATGGCCGCAGTGAGGTGCTTCTCAGCCCCCATATGGGGTACGTGGAGGAGGGTGTCATGCACAGATGGTACGAGGACTCGGTTACCAATCTCAAGGCATGGTTGGACGGAAAGGATTTGGCAACCAAGTTGAACTAGATGATTTAATTCTCTATCTTTACATACTTGTACATAGCTCATGAGAGTTGATTCTTGAACTTCGAAGTGTGTTACAATGGCCAAAGATCAAGCCCTCAACATGATATTCTGCGTGATGTGTTCTTGTAGCGTGGCTCGCACTGGTGTGTTCCGCTCTGCCGTGGTTCTCAACAACTTGGCGGTCAAATCTATCTGAGCTGGAATTAGCTACATGTCTCTGGGGGCTTGGGGAATTGACGGCAATGCACCAAGATTGGAGACGCCAACTTATTGGAGACGAGGCCCCTTTCTAGCCACTCATTTGCGGCCCTACTTCCCCAAATTGAAGACGAGGTGTAGCGGATACCCCAGGTCCATGATTATCTCCAAATTGCGAAGTCACCTTGCCCTAAAGCTTGTGTGTAAACCCCGAAACCTCAGTCGTAGGGTGGGGGCTCATTCATGTCCACACGGGTGGGCGGCGATGACCATGCCACATATTGACACATATCAGAAGATTTCCATTGGAAGGCAGTGTAATAAACTGAAGTAGAGAGAAAGAAAATAAATGAATCATGGTATCGATTCCCACGGGTGCGAAGTCAACTATCCATTACACACTTGTTTGCCCACCCAAATACCAAGACTCCATCACGACGGTATATTGCTGTGCTAGTTGAGATTGATGGAGCTCTCAAACCCCCTGGAGCCATTCCTGGCTCGTACTGCCCATTTCACCTCGTCGCTGGGTTCAAGTGACTCCATCGTCATATTCCTCATTACCCTCGTCGCCATTCGATACCTGAGAGGCTACTTGAACAACACGAAGACGCAGCGCTCGCTCAGCGCGGCCTCTGGAAAGACTGGCGCGAGAACCGATCAGAGCGACATTGAGGCCATTGAGGGGGAAGAACAGGAGGATGAGGACCGCAGCATCGTTCAGGCCTTGAGAAGGCAGAACCGCAGGTGTGCCGTCATCTTCGGCTCCCAGACTGGCACAGCCGAGGCATTCGCCTCGAGGTTATCACAAGATGGACGCAGTACCTTCTCCCTGACCACCATGACCTGTGATGCCGAGGAATATGACTGGGCTGATGATCTACACAATATCGGATCCGACCAAGTGCTCATCTTCGTGCTGGCCAGCTACGGCGAGGGGGAACCCACGGATAACGCAGCGGACCTGTATGAGGCGATTCTAGGCCTGGCTGATCAGACTACGGGAAGAGAACTACCCAACCTGATATATGCCGCATTTGGACTCGGGAACAAGACGTACGAGCATTACAATAAGGTCGTCCATGACATCGACGGGGCTCTGCAGAAACTGGGAGCGCGCAGGCTGGGTCCTGTCGGCGAGGGAGACGACGCTGGGGGCACCATGGAGGAGGACTTCTTATCTTGGAAAGCCATAATGTGGGACGCCGTTTCCAAACACCTCGGCCTCGAGGAGCACCAAACCACCTACAAGCCCATGCTAGAGGTGTTGCCCAGAGACGACCTCAGCCTGCAATCCCCCAGCGTCTACCTCGGCGAGACCACCGCCCAGCAGCTCAAAGGGCTAGCCGCGCCAGCAGGTCCTCATCAGCCCTTTGTAGCCAGGGTGTCCAAGTCGCGCGAGCTGTTCCGGATGCCCGACCGTAACTGCATCCACATGGAGATGGACCTCGCCGGCTCAGGACTTCAGTACCAAACAGGCGACCATATTGCTGTGTGGCCCATGAACTCGAGCGTGGAGGTCGATCGGTTCCTGAGTGTCAACGGCCTTCTAGAGCGTCGCGATAGCATCATCGATGTCCGATCCATGGATCCCACCGCGAAGCTGCCCTGCCCTACGCCGACCACATACGACACCATTGCGCGGTACTACCTCGAGATTTCTTCCATTGTCTCTCGTGAGCTGCTAGCCCGCTTTGCCCCCTTGGCTCCTAGCGAAGAGGCGAGAGACATGATGGTCAAGTTGAATAGCGACGCCGACTACTTCACCCAGACCGTAACATCTCGCTACTTGAACTTGGCCCAGGTTCTCGAGATGGCTGGAGGGGGCAAGGTCTGGAGCAGCGTCCCCTTTGCCTTTTACCTCGAGGGCTTGAGCCGCCTGAGACCTAGGTACTACTCCATCTCGTCGTCCTCGCTTCTGCACCCCCAGCGAGTGTCCATCACGGCCGTTGTCGACACGGCCAACTTGCCAAACCGATCGGGCCAGTGGAAGGGCGTGGCCTCTAACTACCTTCTTGCCATCAAGCAAGGCCGTGAGGCCGACGGCAGCAACAACAACGCTACTAGGGGATCTGAGGGCGCCTCGGCGTACACCACAACCGGACCGCGTGGCAAGTATGGTGGCTCGCGGCTGCCGGTGCACATCCGAACCTCCAAGTTCAGACTGCCCGACGACCCAGCAACCCCGGTCGTCATGGTCGGTCCTGGTACTGGTGTGGCTCCCTTCAGAGCGTTCCTGCAAGAAAGGGTCGCCCAGGTCAAGGCGAATCTGCCAGTCGGGAAGATCATACTGTTCTACGGTTGCCGGAATAGCACTCAGGATTTCCTATATCAGGATGAGTTTGAAGTGAGTCGTCATCTGCGCTATTGGTGTCTTTTGCTTCAAGTTCGCGGTTTAGCTAGCTAACCTATCATACAGGAGCACAAGAAGGTACTACAAGACAGGTTCCATCTCATCTCTGCCTTCTCGCGAGAAGGCAGATCCAAGGTCTACGTACAGCATCGCTTAAAGGAGAACGCCGCCCAGGTAGCCAGCCTCCTCGTTGAGGGCGGGCACTTCTACGTGTGCGGTAACGCTGCCAAGATGGCCAAGGACGTACATTCCACCCTGGTCCAGATCATGGGGCAGCACCTAGGCGGGCGTGAAGAACATGGATTAGAATATTTGAGAGTCATGAGAGCTTCTCGGAGATACCAGGTTCGTCGCGATCCATGCAACCCCATCGTCCATGTTGCTGTGTGGGTTTTGACTGACAAATTTGGACTTGATAGGAGGATACTTGGTGAGCCAAATCCCAAATTTGGCGGACAAGGAGCTATAGAAGCTTGATATATGTATACCGTGAATGAATTGCAGCTACCTAGAATAAAATGGTCATCGTGTGTGCTCCAACGCCAGCTCAGACTTTCGTGAAGATACCTAGATTTGACTCTAGTTCCTCTACAGACTGGATGTCGGATGTCTCCATCAGGGGTTGGTTGGGAAATAAAGTAAGTAATATAATATAGATTAAAGTAACTTTTATTAAATAAGTCAATTAACTTATAAATTAGAATCCTACCCCATCTATTAGATTGAGCGGACGTATCTCAGCCCACTTCATGTCAAAACCTTGTTCACACTGCTTGCCATTGAATGCATCAGTAGCAAACGTTGAAGATACTTGCTGAGGCGCTCCAGCCCAGGATGAACGCGATGGGAGAGATTCTGGAACGAGGTTTATCGCGATGCTCCTTTGCGCGTGCCAGTTCTGGACTGCAATCTCGTATCCTTCAATGGCAGCCCAGTGTTATGGATATGACTTGGAATAATGGTCACACACTTGTATTGCAGTTTTTCGAATGGTAGGTTCTGGGCGAACCACCACTGAATAGCTAGAGGAGGCTGGCAAGATCCAATGCATCGTATCAAGTCATCTTGGGAATCAAATGTGCTTGTGCACGAGTCGTGGGAGCACGTATGCACAGTAAGGGTCTCGCCGTCGTTGTTGTGGCGTACGATCAACGCTCAAAGAGATTTGAGGAGTCCTCTTGAAAATCCGTCTCTGTGGATTCACTCCCCCCCCTATGGGAGGAAATTCCTACTGATCAAAATGGGGAACTCGGGGTATGGCAATCTTGCCACTGTTCTTCTTCCTTGATGCACTACGCCCCGAGTTGGGGTTCAAAGTTGAAACTCCGAGTCGGAGACGTAGCGTCTGGTGAGTAGCCAATCACATAACACGCCATGATTGGGGATGCTTAACGCCATTCCACCCATCGCCAGGACTAAGTCTCCGCTCTTGAGAGAATATCAAGAGTATCATAGGTACCTATCGATCTCGCCATTCTAATAGTCTCTCCTCCTATGCCGCATCCCGCCGCATACGACGACTAGCTACTGAAACTCCGCTAGACATTGAGACAATGACCTCTCTACCAGATATCCGTCTCTACACGTGGCTCACCTGCAATGGCATCAAGATTTCTGTAGCCTTGGAGGAGCTGGGCCTCCCCTACAAGGTCACAGAGGTTGATATTGGAAGTGGTAAGCAGAAGGAAGCCTGGTTTACCGATATCAATCCCAATGGCCGCATTCCCGCCATCACAGACGGTAATAAGCGCATCTTTGAGAGCGGTGCTATCCTGTTATACCTAGCGGACAGGTACGACAGCGACAACAAGTTCAGCTACGCTCCCGGAACTCCCGAGTACTATGAGCAGCTGAGCTGGATCATGTTCCAAATGGGGGGCGTGGGACCGATGCAAGGTTAGTCGAGGAAAACAACCCCCCGGGGTTTACCGACAAGCCGTTCTACCAGCCCCTAACACTCATCAATAACAACAGGCCAAGCCAACCACTTCCGCCTCTTCGCCAGCGAGTATTCGCAATACAGCATTGACCGTTACATGGAGGAGACGAAGCGCCTTTATGGGGTGCTCAACAGGCGGCTCACACAGTCCGCATGGCTGGCCGGCGATAAGTACACCATTGCCGACATTTGTAACTATGGCTGGGTCAGGTATGCGCCTCTCGCGCTGCGGCTGGACCTGGACGAATTTCCGGCGCTGAAGAAGTGGCACGATGCCATTGCCGAGCGCGAGGCTGTCCGGAAGGGCGTAAATGTCCCCCGCGCGAGCTCTGACCAGGAGCTCATGCAGAGGTACCGGCTCTTGGAACAAAAGACGCTCGCGCGTAAGATACATAAGTAGAAGATAACTGTAAAGAGACAGCATAATTCCACCTCCTAGGAGCTTACATCTTTTTGGTGCTGAGGATTATATGCAGGCTACATGTACCTTACAAAGATGCCAAGTACGCTTCCTTTGGTTCTCTGGCCTTGGATACACTCAATGATGATGACAGGCGAAACTAACTGAGCTTTAGCTTTTTCAGTGTAAAATATTGAGGTCTTGCTGGTTCGCGTAAAATGGGGGGGAGCGAGAGAGAGAGAGAGTAACGGTTAGAGAAATGGGCTTATTCAGAAGAGTAATGAAGCTCATAGGTTGATGAACGGATCTATCGGCCCGGGGGCAAAATTCTTTCTGCCTAGAAGGATATTACTTAAATGAAAAGAGACAGCCTCAGAATCGACATCTCCATTTCATTTCTACTTACTTACCTTACATATTAAGGGTGATTTCCCCCTTAGTCCCCATTTCATTCACCTTATTGACAGCATTACGCTTCTCAGCTTCATCCATCAAACCAAAGGTCATACTGTTTGACACGTTTCATTCTTTCATCTACTCGACAAAAAGAAGGAAAGGAAAAAAACCCGTCACTATGGCTTCCCTTCAGTTCCATGACGCTGACTGGCATGGCGACCTTCATACACCAATAGCCGATGGCAGGTATGTTGACCCCAAGACCGGGGAACTACATACTGTCACGGACTATGTCAAAGAACATGGCGAACCAGGGTCTTACCGAGGTCCACCTTCTGTTGATATCATTATTCAGAGCATACACGCCGATACCGTAGGTTGTGTCTATCGTGCGGCACGACTTTTCCCATGGAAGCTCTCTTATCTATGATAATGAAGGTGGTAAAGGAGAGAAAGCTCAATATTGATTCAGTTGTTACGACACCCTACGCAATCCGCGTTATGATGCGCTCTGAGTTAGTCAAGGATGAATTCAACCAAATTGCGGCAGGATGGTCAATGGGATTTGAGATGAGAAGAAATAATACTTGCTGGCTCTATTATTCCTCACTTTGAGCTCTTTCGTCTCATTGGATTTTTTATTTTATTTTAAATGTCAAGTTCTTAATTGCGTACATTACCCTTCTATTTTTATCATTTACGTTTGGCCTGGTAATCAAGCGGCAGGGTTCGTCGCTCAGATCCTGGATTGTAGTAGACACACGGGAGCGTGAAACATCCGCAAGGTGGGGATAGCGGTGCCTTGCTCACTCAGTGGTGACTTCTATTTCTGAAACGACAAATTGATGACTTTGTGAGATGGTTCATTGGCTAGCTAGATCATGTAGAATCACACCAGGTCACCATGCATGTTGGTTGCCCCTGCAAATACAAGATGCAGCAGTGGGGAGCATGGTCAGCCCAATACCTGCATGATCACGGCGGTTTTACCTGTTTTTGTAGCGCCTTTGGCCTTCTCGTCCCATTGCTGGCTATTACAGCGATAGTAACTATCTCAAAATAATCCTCGGCGACATTAACCTGAGTAACTTGGTGTTTTATACCGAAAATGAGTACAAGAGGCTTCAACCTTCCATGTACATAGAGGAGAGCTAACCAAGCACATCCACCAAGCCATGTTCCGTAACTGGACGCTGGCTTATTATCTGAAGCTAGGAGAGCAACTTCGAGCTATTCTTGGTATCACCCCAACCTTGTCACATAATTCAGCCAGGAAATATAAGCACTCCTAGTATCTTCCCACTTCATCCCTGATACCAAGTGAATCTCGCTGAGATAATTACGCTTGCTATATTTATTAGACCCAGACCAGATTCTAAGCCTGACACAATAAGAAACAAACTTTCAGATCACAATCTCTCGTTATCTTTGAGTATGTTTAGGCAAACCGGTTAAGCTTAATAAAGGGTTATGTAAGGACGTGACTTGTGGCAACTGATGCCAGCTGCTAGCCGTCTAGCAACTGACAGTACAGGTCCCGTGGACATTGCCAACTCAACGTGTTTCCATGCATCAAAGACGAACATCATTCTCACTCTCTGCTCACTTCCGTTTGTGCCATATTTCAAACCCAGCTAGGATCTCCCCCTTCTCTCTTTTCTCTCTCTCTCTCGCGTTCTTGCACGCACACACATTCCCCCCTACTCTATCACGAACGGCCTTCTTTCTCCATCCCTAGTCACTGCATTCTGATACAAAATACCCATCTACCCTGATTTATGTTCCAATTGTGGACTTGATGTCAGAAGGGTGGAGTGCCCGCGATGTCCTTGTGTTTACTGTCACAAGCTCAGCCATATCGTGAGAGATTGTCCATGGACCAATCCCTACGAATACTGCGGTTCAAAAAAACATGGCTCGAGGTTCTGCCAACTCAAGAAGCTTTTGAAGCCCTCAAAATCACCACAAACAAACTGATGGAAATGGTCCACCAAGAGGTTTTCTTGTTTGGAGGTAGAATCATCACTCAGAATTTGATCAAAGACATTTTAGCTTTTCAGGGTCATTAGAAAACTTGTGGCCGATGCGGCAGATAATCAGTGTTTTGTGCGACCTTTGTTCGCGTCTCTGGCTCCGTTTCTATGTCAGACAATCCAGCCGCGTCGTCTGGAGAATCTAGACAGAACATGTACAAAACATCCTGCATCACAGCCGAACGACTTTGCATCAATTACTTCATGTTCCGCCACTCAGCAATCATTCTCTTCCCGAACGGTAAAATTACCTGATGGCAGCGCTCATAGACCTGAATATGAAGCCATGATGGCAAAGATTGAAAATCTTGCCACGAGAAAGGTATCCAGGTTGAGGAGTTTCATTTGCAGGCTGAGCGCGTCTTGCATTTCTATGCATCGGCATGAACCTTGATGAGCTACTGACGAGGCGCCCCCCAATATCAAGAATATAATTAGATGTGCTATATGTAAGTAGACCCGAAGTAAGGAAGATCGCTATACTGTAAGCCCCGGCAGTTTCATCAGGTGCCCATATAGGGGGGAAACGGCTGCCGCCATTTTTATGATTTGCGGAGAAGCCTTTGATTTTCTCTTTCGGAGATCAAGTCTAACGAGAACGAGTTTGGATATTAGGCAAAGGGGAAACGAATCACATAATTGTAGGCATATATCTCTTAACCTTACAACTGGGTCAGGGTTAGGGTTCTAGGTACAACCGCATCCACAAGCCTTGCAATTGCCCTTTCCACACTTTGCGTTCTTGTTGTAAGACCATTCACAATCCTGCCAGCGACCGCAAGGCGTCTAGCCTCCGTTACCCCCTTCATATGCCAACCAACACCATGGCTTCCCTGCAAATGCATAAAGAAAGTTGATGTCTGCCCTGCAGTTTCTCCAGCACCAGCCCTTATCGCATCTATAATCGTAATCCCAACCACTACCACAACCAGTGCCTAACTCGCAGACCTCTCTTTTGTCGAAAGCATTATCTTCCCTTTGACGGGGCTCTCGAGGCTGACTTCCTTTCCGAAGGAGCTGTGAAAGGTTTCCTTCTTTTCGGCAGTGGTCTCGAGGGGGCTGCTAATACCGAGCTCAGAGGGATGCTTCTTATACTTTCGAAGCGTAGCAACATCTATACCCTCTGGAAGGTCCTTGAGATTCTATTCCATGACGCCAAGGGCACCGCATTCCGCTTCAACGGCGGCACGGTCAGCGTCAATGGGTGTGCAGAGTGCTGGAGTGGCAATTAATCCAAGGAGGACAAGAAAAGGCTTCATTGTGTAGACTTATATTGTGTGAAACTGTGGCTAGACTGAGGCTCATAGAAGGGCTCCCATGAATGAGAAGTTAAGTAAATATCTATGTGAGATGGGTGCTTGAGATGTCTTTATTGGTGTCGCCACCTAACAGCTTCCAGTTTTACAGGTAAAAGGGATAAATTGGGACTGTTGCATCTAACTAGTAATTACAGAGGGGATCCGTGGCCACTTATATCCCTGGGAATCCCTCGATCGTATCCTCATGAGAGGAGCCCGGTCTCGGGCTCGTAAGGTCCTTCAAGCATCCTTCTAGTATGTAGCTTTATAAAGATACTATAAGTAATATATTGATATATTTTACTAATCTAACTAAGTAAAATAATATAACTTATTAAGATATAAAGTTTCCTATACTAAGAGCAGTATATTAAGTAGGGAAATCTACTCTTAGATATACCTTCTTAGAATAAAAAGTTATAGATATAGATAAGAAGATCAGGGTATAACTAATAACCCAAAATACTTATAATAGTAAGTTGCTACCTATATTAATAGTCTCCCCCCCTTAATAGTCTATCTTCTATATTCTAATTTTATTTAATTTAATTAAAAATTATATTATTAGATTTATTAATATCTAATATTTCTAAAAATAATATTTAATTAGCTATTTATAAAGTATAAGTAGATACTTTATAGTAAAAAACTATAATCTAATAAGAAATCTCTTAAATAACTCTATATATATATATAGAAGATTATAAAATATAGTAATAGAAAGTAAAGATCTAGTAGTAGCTCTTAAAGATCTAGAAAGTCTATTTAATAAAATAGATTTTTATTTAAAATTTAATTAGATTTTCTTTAATTTATATAAAAATTAAGAATATTACTAAGATTCTATTATATAAATAGAGTAATCTTAACTCTATTAGAAGATATTAAATAGAGAGATTTTTATATTATAATCTAGAAATTAAAACTCTTTAAAATAAAAGAATTAATTTTCTATAAATTAATAGAATTATAATTAACTATATATAGAATTTCTTTATATTTAAGTATATTCTTAATATTAAGAAGATCTTTTCTTATAATTATTATAATATAGATAAAGCTAATATTATAGAAAGTATTAATAATAATAATCTAATTCTTAGATTATCTTATAAGAACTAAATAATTAAAATATAGCTAAGAACTTATTATTAAACTATAATTATTAAATATATTAGTATAATAAAAGTTATCTTAAGCTTCTTATTATTTTTAAAAAAAAGATTATTTAATAGTAATAGTTTTCTAATAAATTAAATTATCTTAAATAGTAATATTTTATAGTTTCTAAGAAGGGGTAGACTTCTAATACTATTATATTAATATAGCTTAAGGAGGTTTTTATTCTATTATAATAGTTAGATAACTTATACTAAATAGAGTCTAGAGTAAATTAGAATTAAACTAATTAGAATATTATTCTAAATAGTATAATTAGATTATTATAAACTATATAATATAAATTACTATTTATATATTAGTATTATAAAGCTAGTAATAATAATTATATAAATAATATTAGTTTATTAATAACTATTTAAAAAAGTATTTTATTTAGTAAAATAAATATATATATATATTAAAAGATTATTAATATTTAGTAATAATTTATTATTCTAAATTATTAAAATTATTATAAAATTCTAATAATTTATTAATAATTAATTAGAAAAAGTAGAATATATTATATAACTTTAAGATATAATAATATAATTTATAATATAAGATTCTTTTTCTATTAATTATATTTTTAAGATTATATTTTATAGTTTATTAATAAGTTTTTTCTAATTTAATTTTATATTTTTTTAATAATTTATAATAATATCTAATTATATATAGAAAACTTCTTATAAGAAAATTCTTTAATATAATATTTTTATTAATATTTTTTTTTAAGGTTTTTACTATATATAAAGAATATTCTAAGATCAGACTATATATAACTAGATCTATATAATTTATTTTTAACTAAGTTTTAATCTATATCTAATCTTTAACTCTATTTTTTTTTACTTTCTATTATATAGCTAGCTAAGATATAGATAATAGTATCTCTAAAAACTCTAAGAAGGGCTTATTAAGTATATAACTTAGCT